AGCCTTGGGAAACTTTCTTTTTTTGGGGAAACTTTTCTTTTAATTGGGTCATTGTCTGATTGCAGCCAGCTGCTGATTTGCTCCAGTATAACAGGGCCCAGGTCCTATATCATGCCCTTTTCAACCACCTGTACACACCAGAGCACCACCTCATTCAGGTAATTGTCAGATTTGTTCTTAATTATGAGTCTGAGTTCTCAAATTTCAGTAGCAGGTGGAATTATGTGAATAAGAATAGTTAAGAGACATTTTATTCTCTTGGAAAGTGAGGCTGATACTAAAAGCCATTGCCAAGTTGAAAATATGGAGGTAGCAATGACTAGTAAAAATATCTTAATACCAAGCAGGCATCCGCATTCCTGAGTCTCCACAGAAAAACCAGTGTTTTGTCTTCATCTGAGTCAGTTATATATCACTTGGGGGAGGGGGGGCAGCTTTATGTCTGAAGAAGTGCTATATTTTATTCATTTAACTGTCCTTTCTCCTGCTTTACATCAGTACACACTTGAAACTCCTTGTACATTGGGTATTTTAGTGTCATTTATTCTTTCATGCAGTAGACATTGAGTACCTACTGTGTGCCAGTAACCACTGTAGGTTCCAAGAGTGATTGAACCAGATAAGATTTCTGGCTTTAAGAAACCCTTTGGGAGACATTTATGTAAATATATGAACTATTAAAACAGGTTTGCATAAAGTGCAGTGCGTGTCCAGTGATAGGCAGCTACTGGTGTTGGGTGGTTTTAGGAGGATTCCGGAAGGAGGTGATATTTGTTTCTGAAGGATGAATGAGGTTCTTAGGAGGGGGAGAACATTTTCAAGACAGAAGAAACAAGTTATATAAAATTAGAGGTATAAATAACCTTGTTTCTTATTTTATGTCTACTTGCCCTCCCCCCACTCTGCCACCTTTCTTTCTAAATTATTTTAGAGATTACGAATCCAGGTACTAACAGCGGCAAACAGATTAGGGCTCTTATGGGGCAGCCAGTTAGCTCAGGTGGTTAGAGCACAGGCTCATAACACCTGGGTTGCCAGTTCATTTCCCACATGGGCCAGTGAGCTGCACCCTCCACAACTAGATCGAAACAACTGCTTGATTTGGAGCTGATGGGTCCTGGAAAAAAACACTGTTCCCCAATAAAATTTCTGAAAAAAAAAACAAAAAACCAAAAAAAAACCCCACTCAAAACCCAAAGATTACAGGAGAGATAGAAGGGATTGGCTAGACACTGAAACTTCAGGTAAGGTGGTCAGATTGGACACAAATGAGTATCATTCTAGATTCATTTAGGAGTTTTATTTTAAGTACATGTAAATATTGTTTAAACTTAGTAATGTAGTGACAATAGACTTAGACTCCTATAACTTGGGTAAAAATCCCAGCTCTGCCTTTCTTCCCATTTTATAGTTTAGCAAAGAACAATCCTGAGAAGGTATTAACTTGTCTGTCAGATGGAGTTAATGTAAAAAAATTTGAAAATGTAAAGTCATACGTACTTAATGTATTATTACCAGTATGTTTTGATTCTATGACATGGACCCCAAGAAGATGAATAAAGTTACTAGGAGCATCAGTGAGTGTCGTGAATACAGATGGATGAACTGTAGTTCCTTTCCACTACTTCTCCTAGGCTGTCCTCCTGTGTCTGCTGGATTTATTTCCAGTCCTGGAGAAAGCCCTGCAATGGAAAGGAGATGCAGCTCGACCCACCACACACTGTGATGAGGTGCTGCAGCTGGTTCTGACCCACATGGAGCCAGAGCACCGCCTTCTCTTACGCAGGACCTATGCGAGCAACCTGCCAGCTTTTGTGAAGAGGTGAGTGCCAGGCTGCTGGTCTGGCCGTATTCCTTGACTTCATCTCTTTGGTATCACATCTTCTTTTTTGTTTGTAGGCTGGGGATCTTAGCTGTCCGGCACTTGAAGAGGCTGGAGCGAGTCATCCTTGGTTATCTGGAGGTTTATGATGGACCAGAGGAGGAGGCTAGACTGAAGATACTGGAAACCCTCAAACTTCTCATGCAGTATACTTGGCCCAGGTATAACAGCCAAGCAGACAGGTGTGCTAAGAGGGGCAAAACTCAGCCGATTTTCTCTTCAGAACTTGCCCAGATAAACATGCAGTACAAAGTGTTAAGTACATGGTATATATTTGAATACCTCCCATTTTACACACCTATTGGATTTTGAACTGAGAAAATGGCATTTAAAAGATACAGTACACCCAGTGTTTTTTTCAGGTGTACATCTCTTTAGATTTATGTGCGTTAAATTTTAAAAGGCCGTTAGTAGAAGTGCTACAATAAACACATGCCCAACTTTGTTCATCCTAAATTTTCTTAAATTGAGACAGAGCACTTCCTAGCACATTATTGAACATCTGTAGGGCAGTGATCAGAATACGAATTTAGGATATGGTTGCTTAGAAAGCATTCCAGCTCTGGCTTGAGGTAGGTGTCCGGAACAGTGAACTGGTACTCAAACATGTTAAGTCAACAAAAGTCTTGCATGAAATGACAGTTAATTCAGTTGGAGTCCAGTCCCTTAACAACATGCATATCTATTCTGAGCCATATTTCCTCATTTCCTTGTAATAAATCTTTCCTGTCACACTTGTAACCATGTTGCATTTGTTTACTTACTAATTTCTCCTCTACTAAACTATAAACTCCAGGAGGATTAAAGATCACTTTGGTACACTGAGCGTACCAGTTTACTTAGTACCTGGTGTTAAGTACACATGTTTGAAGAATGAGTGAACTAGAATAGAATGAATGGATGGATGAATGAAACTGAATCACATTAATAGTGTCAGGCCTTTAAAGAGCAGAGACCAAGATTCCAAGTAGAAGAGATTGGCAAGCAAATACAGGGTTTAGATAATGAAAGTCAAGTATGTGTGAAGGGGCATAGCCTATGAAAGGTTATATAGTGAATGATGACAGGTGGAGGTCTGAGCAGTACACAGATTATAGGAAACTAGTATTTAGATCAGGGTAAGGGATGCAAACTTTTCTTTTGCCAGTCATATTTCTGTCCAGAAATGTGGTTTATTATACATATATATATATACATATATATATATATATATATATATATATATGTGTGTATTTTATTGGGGAATTTGGGAGAGGGGAACAGTGTTGGGGAATTGGGGAAGGGGACCAGTCAAGTTGTTGTTCTTCAATCTTCGTTGTGGAGGGCGCCAGTTGCCGTCTGGCTTCTTGTTGGCATCTCGTGGCCTCTTAAGTTCAAGGTGCTGTGTTCAATCTTAGTTGCGGGTGGGCATAGCCACCATCCCACATAGGAGTTGAACCAGCAGCCTTGTTCAGAGTGCATGCCCTATCTACTGAGCTATCCGGGCGGCAGCTCAAGGTGCCAAGTTCAGTCTTAGTTGTGGGTGGGCATAGCCCACCATCGAACAGGCAGTCTTCTTGTTACAGCAGCTGAGCCATCCTGCCACCTGTTGGCAGCTCAGCTCGGGCACAGCGTCACTGGCCTATGTGGGAATTGAACTGGCGGTCCTGTTGCTCAGAGCCCGCACTCTTAAGCCAACTCCTAACCAACTGAGCCACTCAGCCAGCCCATTATGTATATTTTCACACTACGAGTTAATTCACTTTTCTGCTTCCATTAAGACTTTTTAGTGTTTTTTTTATTGTGGTAAAAAACCAAAACACATTTACCATTAAGTGGCATTGAGGACGTCCCAAATTTTGTGCAACCATCACCACTACCCACTTCCAGAACTTTATCAAGATAAAACCTTTTAGAAAGGTTAATAAGTAGAAGTGAATAGGCTCAGTTTAACTGTAAGTTAATAGTAAGCTAGGATATGGAATTAAGTGACAAGAAAATTCAAATCGATACCAGCCAAGCTGCTTTCCCACATTTTATTTTTCACTTCCGGGCCTAAGACTGCAAAAAAGTTCAAGGACTATGAGCTATTTCTTGTTCTCTGGCCAAAAGTACAGGCCCTTGATAAAGTCAAATTCCAGTTCGCCCCTTTCAGGAAGGGCTATTTCCTTCCAGAAGAATCAAGCTTCTGGAGGGGAGCAGGGTATTCTTAGGCAGGCCAGTATGTGTATGTGGGCAGTATGCTATAGAAAAAATAGGGGGCTTGAGTTAAGAAATCTGCAGTCTGGTCTCTAGTTCTGTGGTCTTCAAGTCAATTGACTTCAGTTCCTTCGTTTATGAAATGACGGCTTCATACTATTGTAGATGGCCTTTGAAGTCTCTTGGTTTAATATCCTGATTTACAGTGTGAACAGTTTTTCTTCTTGATTCCAGAGTTTCCTGTAGACTTGTGGTCTTATTGAAGGCTCTTTTGAAACTGATATGTGATGTAGCAAGGGATCCAAACCTTACACCTGAGCCTGTTAAGAGTGCCTTGTTAGAGGAGGCCACAGAATGCCTAATTCTCCTGGACCACTGTTCTCAAGGACAAGTAAAGGTAAGGGATGGT